GGATACGCGTGTGTTGGAAGGTATTGTTCCGATGGCGTGTCGCATTATCATTGATTATTGTGTGTTGTCAACTAAAATAATTTTAGCGCACTCGGCTAGATTTATTCGTTAATATCGGCCATGACAATATGCGCATCGGTTGAGGGTTCACCATGCGTATAATGGCTTTCATATTATGCGACCTGTCTTTATTGGAATTTGTTAGTGGAATTTTTTTATCAAGCGAGTGTTGCTTGCGGCGTTTTCAACTGTGTTATTGCCATGAAACCTCTAAATAATATATTCTCGATGCCGGTCACTGTTTGTGGAGCCGACCGCTATTGCGTTTGTCACGGCCAAAGCATAACAGCAATGAACTGCACGACGAGTGGTTGCAACGCTCTCTGAAGGGAAAGCTGAAAATATGTTTATGCATTCCGGATGGCGCTACGCAGGTGCCACTGGAATTACTAAAGTCCCGTACGAGGCTTAATTTAGCGGCCTTTTGCGCAGGATATCGTTGGCTTATATGTGACAGCGACAATGGTTCCTGGAAATCTAACAACGATTGCAAGTATTGCAAGCAGCGGATCGGAAACTTGGTTATTGTTTTCCCACTTTTTCATTGTAGTTTTGATTGTAAGTAGGTGCATCACTCCGCGGTGTAATTCGTTGTTCAGATAGGCGACCAAGTCATGCGAATTCAGTGCACTTTTGTAATATATCTTAACTCGTGAAGCGTTGCGAAAAAGGTTTGATGATACTTGCGAGGGCAGACTGACAAATGACATGTCTTGACACATCACCGTCATCACGGATTCTCTGATGTTGGTAATGTTGGAGTATTTTGCCACCTAAATCTGTGCTAACTAGCAACATTTTAGACGCTTTGGTCGTAGAGTTTTCGACCTTCACTATAATATACCCAAAGTTGTCCGCGCCAGAATTAAGACCTGATGCAGACACGGCAAACATCATTTCCATGAGGTTTGTTCGACTCTAGTATCATAATCGCCATGATCACCATCATGTATAATGTATAACCTTGGTTTTTCTCTGCTGCAACCATGATTTGTTGGTGAGTCCTATTCGGGAAGAATTAGGATATACAAGGAGAACATATATCTAACTTCTTACTATCGCTCGTAATGACCAACACATCCAGGCAGTTGATAGTGCAATCCGGATAAAAATTGACAGCAGGGGTGCCATTGATATTGACCCGTAGGCCGAACTGTGGATCACGATGTTTGAGTCATGGTAGGTGAGTCACATTGATAGTTCCCTAACGTTTCGTCATCCTTTGCATGCTGCTCATCTCCAATGAGTTGGCCACCATTGGGATTCCGCCACGCTTAATCGGCCACCGAAAACAGCAGCCTCTCAGGCAAACGATGGTTCAGCTTACGGAATGTATAACGTAGACAAAGCAAGTCTAGTCCTATAAACATTCTTAATGAAACATCACATTGCGCTACCGAAAACCCGCTTTTCAGTTGATCGCTGTGAATTCTGCAGCATTAAACTGCATGAGATATGGTACTGATATGATTAACAAACACCTCGAACAGGCAATAAAATCACCTTGCACTGCAAACTGATGCACACCTCTCTTGATGTTCGGGGATATACGGCTTTGGCGATGTAGATGTCTCAAAGAGCAAGCATGTTCCTAGTCTTGCAGCTGTATGCACTGACCTCGTCTTTTACACTACAATCAGGGTAAACATAACCCATAAGTTATGTAGG